ATATTAACACATTAATATTGTTGTCCTCATTTCTATTTATTCACTTCATTTCTGCATTTTTTTATTTGACCATCAATGCATTAATAATTATTTTTTAAGTCAGCAACAATGAGCAACTGATTGAACTCCACACATCGAAACAAGATTATTTGCAATAAACCACATCCAATTTAATTGTTCAACTCCCAATGATTTTTGATACTATAAAAGAATACCTAATGAGGTTATATCAATAACCTCAATCAATGACCAACGGTTGGAAGTAAATGAGCATGTAACAAGAGCAATCAGATCAAACAAAAAATTTCAAATCAAGTGTACAATACTATGATGAAGCCAGTACTAATATATGGCTGTGAGACATAGACACTAACCAGAGCTACAGAAAAAAATATTGAAATACTTGATAACCAGAACAATCTGGAATCAGAGTACTAACACATGGAGAAGAAAGACCGATAAAAAGTTGCTTATAGAAACTGGTCAATCAATATCGCATGATATAAAGGCACAGAGGTTAAGATGGGTAGGGCATGTAGCTCAGAGTAATCCAACGGGAAGCCTCTACATAACAATGAAATCCTCAATGGAAGGCAAAAGCGCACGTGGAAGGCCAAAAAGTAGATGGATACATACAATAAAAAAAGATGCGGTAGAGCTGCTTGCAAATAACTGGAAAGAAATAGCTCGAGATAAACAGAGATGGAGTAGGCTTGTTTAGGCGGCTAAAGATCTACATGGTCTGTAATCCCAACAGAAAAAATATAAGTCTTTTGATAAATTTGTGTGATCATTGAATTTTCAGTTAATAACAAAAATAAATCACCAAATGCAATGGCTCAAATATTGGTGTTTTGTGATCATGAAGATAAAAACTTGACATATAAATTTCTTTAAAATTGCATTCTCTCAAAATTTCAAAATATTTTGAGATGGAGTTGGTCAGGAGGTATGGTCAAATGAATACGATATATTAAAATAGTATTTTATTGTTTACAAAAATTCTATTTTAGTATATAGTAAATACTATGAAATTTTAATATATAGTAAATAATACAAAAATGCTATTTTAATTTACATTAAAATATTATTTTAATATATAGTATTCATTTGACGCCCTCCCTGACCAACTCCTCATATAATCACGGTCAACCATCTCTACACTATTAAAAATATTTTATTTTAGGTTACAGTACTAGTAATCAGTTAATTGAAAAAAATCCACTTTTTTATTTAACCAGCCATTTTTTTATTGAAGATAAGGCCAAATGTTTTTATTTATTTGTTTAGTATAACATCGAATAGCATACAATCTGAATAACCCTATTATGATCAATTTAATAATAAAGAATGACAACTACAACTTTAACTATTCAGCACCATTTGTTCTGGTTAGATTTAATTAATGATGGTTATAGATCCAAAAATTGTCAATAGAGAGGATAAAAAAAACTATAAGGCTCTATATTTGAAATTATTTATTTAATTTATTATTAAATATTTATATTTTTTCATCTTTTTTTGTTATTAAATCCTGCAAACGGCATTTAAACTTGTAGCATAAAGTTTTTGCAGGTGCCTTGACTCGCTCGACCACCACGGCCTCATTTTATTTAGAATAAAAATATGGTGCTTTTAATACAAAACTATTCCAAAATCTTTTTCTTTTGGAGGGGAGAGTTAATGCCCCCTACTCCCTCAGATTTACCAATTGTTAAAGTTTTCACTTATCTCCATACTTAAATATAATAAATAAAAAAAAAGGATAATTTTGTTCAAAAATAAATGTTAATTAATTTTTTTAAATTAATCTATTATACTTTAAAATTAATCAGATTTGTTGGTTCAACAAAATTATTTTTCTTTGGTTTTATACTTAATACAGCTTATAACCAAACGGGATATAATGATGAACCAGCAATGGCAACTTTTTTGTGAGACATCTTGTATTTATACATTTTTATGTAATTTTAACTGGATATATAATGACTGAAATCAGTTATTGCGACCTGCTTTTATTCAGCTATGGGATAAAAATAAAAGTTATACTACTATGGTAGCAGTGGAAAAGAGAAGAGGGAACCTGCTCAAAAGATTAATGAACTTATTAAAAATGCTGCATTGTTTTCTTCCCTTTTATTTCTATTTCCTGCCTAATTCATTCTATCATGTAATCTTTTCTAGGTATTTCAGTTGAAAATTCATTTATAATTAATTAGTATCTTCACAACATCCACAAGGCAGTCCTACTTCGATGGACCAAGTTTAATATTCTTAAATTTTCAATGTCTAATAATTGAGAAATTTAGTTTGAAATAATGTGTGAATTCTCTATGATTAGTATGAAATTTCATTCATTTGGTTCATCATCTAACGAATAGTCAGTTATTGCAATGAAAATCAACGAGCACCTTCACAGTCATTACAAATGATTGTTTTTTTTTTATAAAAATCCTTTATTAAAAATTTTGTTTAAGTTCTGTAAACATTTGCTTTATTAACATTCAAAATTGCCAACTTATACGTATATTTGTGAAAAGTAAGAGTAAACATTTTAATGAAAAATTTAAATCCAATGTTTCTATCTATTTTTTACTTTAATTTTAAATAATAGGCTCATGTCAATTGGTGGTCAAAAGATAATTATTTTAGTCGATTTGCCTGCGGTTGGTGTATGTCAGCTCTACTGTGGACCTTTCCCATTTCTCTGATCAAATCTGAGAGGTTAGTTGTCAGTCAAATCAGCACCTTTTTGAATAACAGTGATTTTCCACCAGAAAAGTATTAGAGTAGCAGTCAAAACAAATTGAAAATTAACAGTGTTATGGTGGTGCCTATTGTTTAAGTTTTAACATAAAACAGCAATAATCTTTGTCACCCAGTTTGACTATTATTCTTACTATTTATTTGTTTTTCTCTTTGCCTCAGGTTGTGCTTTTTCTTTCGGGTATATATGTTTATATTATATACTTTTCGTCTCCCTGTGGTATCAATATGAATATGTACGTATACATAGTTCCTTTTTTTCCGTTATACCACAAGTAATCCTGAGATTTTATTTTATCTTATTGTTTGCATATTATTATATAAATCACTGTAGATAATATTACATTTTGTATTAAGTTATTTTTCTATTAGATAGCCTAGTGTCTGTAAATTGTGTGGTTGTGTATATGTGGATATGTAATTTCTTTTCTTTATTTTTTTCTTTCTTTTTTTCCATCACAATAACAAGTAATTTTGAAAAGATTTTATGTTCATTTATATATATATATATATATATATATATATATATATATATATATATATATATATATTTTTTTTTTTTTTTTTTGTTTATTTTTTAGTGGTTACATACTACTTTTTAAATACTGTATATAAGTTAGTTTTTGGCCAGATTTGTATTTTATTTTTGTATTAATTCATCATTGTTATTCTAAAGAGACTTAGTCCCAGAATAAAGTTCAGTTTTGTATTCTATTCTATTCTATATATAAATATATATATAAAAACACTGTTACCTTCTATATATATATTTTTTTTTTTTTTTGGTTGGCGCTACAGACCATTAAGATCTTTGACCGCGAGTTGTGGTCTCCTTGACCACATCCTGATTACTGATTTAAGTACACTGGGGTAGGGTCATCAGTCCTACGCCCAGTCAGTGTGAGTTGCCTCCAGTAGGTTGACGGATCTCACATACCGGGAGGGGGGGGGCAGTGTGGCTTTCCCTGGTGGACAGTCACCCATCCAAGTGCTAACCACACTCGGCATTGCTTTATTTATATATATATATTTTTGTTTACGACAGTTGATTTAATCGATATATGGATTGAATTAATTTTTGTAAACAAATACAATAAGTTAGCTATTGGTTTGTTCAATAAATATGTTTTATTTTTTGTTTTGTTTTTAAAGAGATACAAAGAAAATACAACTATTTTTAATATTTCTTTTATTTTATATCAAATTATCATATTACAATTGACAAAGAGATTTAATTTATTAACATTATAATTAACATAACTTAACTATTATCTACATTCAGAACACTAGTTTTAGAGAGAGTGATAAAAGTAATGAATTATTAGAACATGATCAAAATATGATGTGTTATTTAAACACAATTACAATAAGGGTTCTCTGTCTTGTGTCTTGCAAGCGTTAAGATAATTTCATGTTTATCAAAATGACACAAATCCTTTTATATATCAAAACTAGTTGCACTAAATGCACAATGTTGTAATATTACAGAAATAAAATTCATCAAAGTACTTGTTAATTTAATTTTATCAAAGGTTACTGAATGTCTTTTTGCCATAAACGTACAATATGTTATTATAAAAGACATAATACTTTCGTATTTATTGATTTTTTTTAATGCAATTGTATCACCCACCACAATTTTGACACTTATTTATTTTTACTGTACTTATTTATTTTTTAATCCAATTGTATCGCCCACCACAATTTTTAAGTGTCCAGTTACCAAAAGTTTGAGAACCTCTAGTACATAATTCATAGACCTGCTAATGACCTTCATAAACAGTGTTACAGCAAAAAGAACTGCAAGGATATTAACAATTTTACTCAAAACATAAAATAACTGAGAAGAGTGCTCAAAACATTTGTCCTATTTTGGTCATTTTCTTCCTTCTATTAATTTTATCTCTCTCCCTATAGTTACAACAATCTTTTTATGAGCTATATTGACTAGAACTAAAGTACTTTAAACTTCACATTGATAACATTGTACTTTGTCTGATTCAAATTTATTTATCCATGAAGTGATTGTGTATATTCAAGGTCGATGATGGGCATTATTACCCAGAAATTTCAACCAGCATTTATAAATAATAAAATATATAATAAAAAAATGGATGGTATTTGAAAGGCCAAAAACCTTTGATTGATTTACTATGCCTTCTTAATGGATGTGAATCTACATCATATTCAAGGCAGTTTTTGTGGCCATTAATAAAAAAAGTAAAGAAGCCACTAAAATTTAATTATACATAAAATCGGTGAAAGAATTTTAGTTTAATATTTATGGAACTCTTCCTTTCTCTTTTTTTTCATATCCTTGTATTTCAAATTTAGTAGATACAACTACTGACTTTCAAGTTCATCATCAAGAATCTTTAATTTAAAATGTAATTGATGTAAATGATCAATTTTTTGTTGTTTTAATAACAATAACGTTGTAAACACTTTAGTATTAGGTATGTATAGAATATTTACAGTGAAAAAATTTGTATGTAATACTAGCAAAATCTATACTCATTGCTAAGTAATATGTTCATAGATTTGTAAGTACATATGTATAAAATTAGATATTTCTATTTCTTCTTAGAGATTAGAATATCTTGATTCACTTTGATTGTTGTGACAGTTTGATTGATTATTCATTAAATATTTGCTTATAATATATGATAAACATTAGGATTTTTATAGTTACTGTTTCTTCACTGTGAATCCATTTTTTTTTACATTGGATCTCACATTGTGTTGATTTGCATTAGTAATAATAATGTTATCTTTATTTACTTCTGACATATAATATTTTATTTAGTCTATGAGCGTATCTCAAGACATAAAAACAAGTTTATCATTTTTAACATCAATTTTTCATTAAAGTAAAGTTTATTTATCCTTGAATTTACTTCTTAAAAACCCCTGGATCATCATTGGCTTTGACAGAATTGTTTACTTAACATTTATGTAATGTAATTAGTTCATTAAATTATAGGTTTATGGCTTTCAGTTTCATTATTAACTGAACTTCCTCCATTGTTCTTTTATCATATCTGATGCTTTTTCTGCTATCATAATAACGGGGGCATTTGTGTTCCCACTGACAAGAGTGGGCATAATGGATGCGTCTACCACTCTCAAACCTCTCACTCCATAAACTTTTAACTGCGGATCTACAACTGCCGATTTATCCCAGTTAGGTCCCATTTTACAAGTACCAACTGGATGGTAAATGGTTACTGAGTACTGTCTTATCATGCACTCCCAATAATAATCTGTATTATTAGGAATATTTCTACAGGACGGAAAAGGACGAGCATATAATTCACTTCCAAATGTCTGCATAGCATTAGTTCTACTCATTTGAATTCCAATTTTCACACCTTCAATTAAAGTTTTCATGTCAAATGGATCAAAGAAATAATTAGGATAGATTAATGGATATTCAAATGGATTTTTACTTTTTAACTTAATAAACCCCTTGCTTTTAGGTCTGAGAAGCACTGGAAGTGCAGACCAAGTATCTTGACCCTTGATTGGTTCAAAAACGTCTTTGTAAAATTTTTCTGTTATTCCATGTGCTTTCCACATCTGAGCTCCACCATCGGAATTAGTTGATCCAGCTATTAAATGAAACTCTATATCCGGCCAGTCTTCTGTGGTATTACTGTACTTAGTGTGGACAAAAGCTAGTCCTTCTACCCCTCCCATTACAGTAAGTGGTCCATCTCCAAACATTGCATACTTTAAAAGTGACTGAACATTTTCATATATTGTAGGTAACAAGGAAACTTTTTGGTTTATAAGGAAAGTAAGACCTCCAAGACCAATATGGTCTTGTAAATTTTGGCCGACTCCTTGTGAATCGTACAAAGTTTGAATTCCCATTTCTGCTAGGTGCTGTTTTGGTCCTACTCCTGATAACATTAGGATTTGTGGTGAGCCAACACTACCGCTACTTAAAATAACTTCTTTTTTTGCTCTGATCTAAAATTTAAAAACAAATATATTAGTAATAGGAGTTAGTTTTATACTTTAATAAAATTTGAATTGCTTTATTAATTACCTGGTAAAGTTTACCATTTTTCATGAATTCTACTCCAGAAGCGACATTTGTTTTTCTATCAATCAGAACTCTCGTAACCTAGAAAATAAACTACTTATATACACCTTTAAGAGTTAATCATTGATGGATTATGTAATAGTATTACATCAGCATACATGAGAATTTAGAGATATGTGGAGGTTTTTCCTGAGCCTCGCAGGTCTGAGGAATGCCTTGGCGGTGCTACACCTAGCGCCTTTCCTCAGTGTTCCTTGTGCAATCATGAATCCAGTTTGACGCCTGCCATTTATATCTCGGTTTTCATATCCCAGTTGTTTTCCTGCCTATGTAAAATGCATATCTTTATCATAACCAAATTATACCAATGATACAGTCACACACTTATATACACAGATAGATATATACACATACACTCATATATTAAATAGAATAGGATATAAAACAAACTTCAAGGGACTAGATCCCTTAAAAATAACAAATATGTACAAATAAACAAGAATATATATATATATATATATATATATATATATATATATATATATATATATATATATATAAATATATATATCTTATTCTGATCATATATTAATTTAAAAATTTATATAATTTGATTTAAAAATTTATATAATTTATTTATATTATAATGTTTATAATTTAAATGAAAATATAATACTAAGAGCTATAGAGAGTACCAGATTTCATAAGATAACATTGAGAAAAAAAATAAGAGCAGCAGAGCTCTTGTCACTAAGATCACATTTCCTCTCATTTTTATTTGTAAAACTGATTTAGTGAAGTGATTTAATGTGCTTACAGGATGAAATTTAATAATAAAAAATTGTATTAATGAATTCTTTCTCATGCTCTGTTTCCAAATTTAATAGATAAAAGTAGTAAGAAAGAGAAAAAAAAAAAAAAATTGAGACCTCCATAGACAAATTCTACAACACCAATCCAATTCACATATAAATTTTCAACGTTTCACCTCAATTTGGAAACGAAATGTAATGCTTGGAGGCAAAAGTTGAGACTCCTAGAAGGAGCTTCTATCACATCCTACTCATTTCACATACAAATTTTCAGCCTGGACCTGTAGATGTGTGAAAACCCTTAAAAATCAAGAACAAAGGGCGGAGATAGGAAGAAAAAAATAAGACACCTAAAAGAGAAAAAGACATTTCTATTATGCCAATCCAATTGTATTTTCGAAAATGTCAACCCTTTAAGTCCATTTGGAGAAGGTTTGGAGGTGTAAATTTAAAAAAAATTATTATATAGTACAAAGATCATAAAGATGTTAACAGATAACAGCTGTAAATGGATTTATTCAAGGCTTGCCCTTGGTGAAAAGGAACATCAAAGTCATTCAAGTCTTTCAGAGACTTGAATAGGTGAGATCAGTAGAAAGGTCTGAGAGACTTTAATGGTAGTGCATGACAGAACAAATATCAGAATGGTGATTGAATTGCATATCTTTCAAAACTGTATGTTATGTGCTTAGATATGCAGTGATCTGCACCTCAGATTATCCCAAAAGATATCCTCTATACCTAAAGAATCACACTCCAAAATATTGTTTTATGTGTTAAAATAATTTTACCTTTAATATAAAAGTAAATTAATGTGATAATTCTGATTAAATATAATCAGCTTAATCAAATCGTAGAAGAAATGTTTTCCTCTTCTTTTTTTCTGATTTATTTATAATTTGCTTCAGGTTATGATTCAGTTTCTTATTATTTAATATTTTACTCTATTACTAAAAATGATTTAATACTAACTTGGACGAATGCTGTTGCTAACTTTGTGTGCCACGGAGCTTCTTGAACTGTTAGGTATCCTCCTGTCGAATGATAGTCAGACCTGGAAAGATATGGGTTCCTGTTATCCTCACTTTTCTTGAAGTAGTACAAAAGCTCATTGTATCCCCATCCAGTATTTCCTAAAGACTCCCACAGATCATAATCATTTTTGTTTCCCCTCACATAGAGCATGTAATTGAGAACACTAGATCCTCCAGCCACTTTTCCTCTTGGCCAGTTGCATCTCTTGTTGGTCATCCCTGAATAGGAAAGAGTTATTTATTAATGTGAAATGAAATACAATATTTATTTATACAATTATGAATAAATTGTCCCTTGACGACAATACAATAAAACATGATAAATTAACTTATTTATGTCAACACTTTTAATTAACATAAATAGCAATTGTAATTTTGATGAAATAAAAATTCAATTTAAATTAATTAAACTTGAATAAGTTAATGAAGGTGTAATCAGATATGTTTTGAAGAATTGATCATATTTTACTATCTAAAATAAGTAGATAAATTAATTGATAAATAACCTGTCTTTCCAACATTGGAGAAGACAGGGGTGGGGTGATAAATATTAAACATAGATAAAAAGGAAATATCATATCAACAGCACACTGCAAAAGCCTTTAAGAACTAAAACTAAAAACTTACAGGAGATGAAATAAACTGCATAATTGTTGTTCTATAAATATTATATTTTTTGTTCAATTTTTTTTTCAGGCCTAAGATAAAGATAAAGATTTAATGTTCTATGTAACTTTTTTTAATCATATTTCAGTCAAATAATGTTTTGGAGCCATTATTTCTAGCTTATAGCTTTTTAGAAAAACTTAGTTACTTAGAAAAACAGGTATTAGTTAGATAAAATAAATCAAATTATTGTAGTAACACCCATAACTTTGTTAATAATGATGAAATCATGGCAGAGACAAAGTCTGTTTCCAAAATATAGAGAAATGATACCTCAAATAAAAATTTGTAAAACATTTGACTGGAAAGCATCAGGTTAAATTTTTCAATTAATTATTGAATTAATTCTGTCTCTGATTACCTGGAATTTGGCAACATGGTAGCTTTTTTACAGTCAAGGTCATTTTGCATTGCCAGGAGGTTTTGATTTTTTTTAAGGCCGTTCAATATTATATTTCCACTTAGCACTCTCTTCTTTGCTTCATTTAGTTCCATGGTTAGCAGTGCCGGCCTCAATGCAGGGGAACCCGAACATTTGCCCTGAGCCGCTGGGCTACGATTGAACGCCACTGATTAGAAATTTAAAAAAAGAATACAAACCGTATGAGAAAAATTAATTTTAGCCTATTAATAAAGCTAATTGATAGTGTAGTCTAAGCGCAAAATGCTTTATACATTCTGTATTTACATGACCACCTTTCATTGAGCATTTCATTAGGTTTTTTCGGTAATGATACAATCTCTATAATCTTCATTGTAACTTACAGTTTTTACATCACAATTTGTTGCTTTGTTTCCATAGAGAAGAAATGAAACATTATAGACTTCATTTTGTGGGATCAGAATATGCGTCAGAACAAGATTGACCAGTAAAGCCTCATTTTCCATCAAAATTGTCATTTTAGGCTTTTTTAGTGTGGCTGTTGATCAAGAGTAATAAAAGGTTGGCAGGGTAGAATGAAGAGTTCCTGAGATGGATAACCTAACTTGACATATTAAATTCTTCTTCTTCCCAATCAAGTCTCTACCACACTGCAATGTGAATGAGATGATTAAGATTGTAAGGTCTGATCCAAGTTCCCTTTCTTGAACCAGTTCTGTGCCACCAGTCTATATCCTTCTTCTTGCAGGCTTCTTTAACTCCTTCTTTCCTGGAATACACTTCTGTCTCCCTCCTATTACCATGCATTCTCCAGACATTCTTGAGACATATTGAGAAATGTCATATTATTCCAACTTAGGATCTTCCTTTACTTGTTCCCAGTTATTGTGGATTTATTGTTTTAATAAAACAAGAAATATTAAAAATTAATAATTATATTACTTCAATAATATTGACTCTATAACATTACTGTACTAGAAGCTCTTAAGAGTATATTTAATGTTACTCCAATCTCTATTTGTTCCTTTAATTATAGAAAAAATAAAGAAGGTACTAATGTGCATTTTTCTTAAACCGTAATCCAGTTTTGTTCATCACTTACCTAAACATGCAGTTCCTTGAGGCTCCGTTTTATATTGCCAATCCATCTTGCTGAGCTGCAGAAATGCAGCCAGAAGAGGGACATCTGAAATATCCGTTTCATCGCTTCCCGCTTCTAGAAGTAGGACATTCCAATTTTCTACCTCTGAAAGACGATTTGCTAATACTGCTCCTGAAAACAAATTTTAAAACTGTAACTATATTGGTATTGAAAGCCAGTGTAGGTGAGTGAAATCACTTTAAATAAAAGCTAATACGTAGTAAGTAGATCATGAATTCTTCTGTGAAGCCTGGATTTAAAATAAAGTTGCATGGCTTGTAAATATTATACACTGTATATTATTCAATAGACTGTTATTATTACAAAATTCCCACTTAAATGTTAATTTTTTTCTTATAAATTGTTATTATTAGTTTTAGCTTATTTTTCCAATTGTCAAGCAATAATATAAATAAACCTTCAATGTTGATGGGTTTTCATCAAAGGATCTGGACATATCTTTTGAGCATTTAAAATTTCACTCTTTTATGGAATTGGGTAATAGTGTTTTAGCATTTTTCAGCTTGCCAACTTTGATAATTTTGTAATTGTAGAATTTTTAATTCATTAATTTCTAAAGTTGATCCAGAAATCATAAGTATACAATTTAAGAGGTAAATGCTTATTTTATTCTGTTTTTCCAAGTCCTTAAAAGTTTTAGAAACTTTGGAGCTAAGCTACAGTAAAGTATGGTTTTACCTCTGTATTAAAGATAAAGTCTTACTATTTTTATGATTATAATTATTTTATATATTTTCAATACGCACCTGCAGAGCCAGCACCTATAATTATGAAGTCATAATTTGGATAAAGCTGAGTGGGATCTACATCAACAGCGTCTAGTCCTGCCTCAGGGTCTATTTGGTCATACCTGAAGTAGGCGATGACAGCTGCCAAGATTGGTGCTACCACAGCAGCATTGCTCACTGCTCCAGCAATCACTCCTGGAAATCCTACCGCCGAACTCATGTTGCCTCTCTACTGAAATGGAAATAAATTCAATTAAAAGTTTTACATATTTCATTAATATTTAAATATAAATAAAATTACTAGTTACAATCAGAGGTGCACATCCACCAAGGGCGATGGCCCATGAATCTCCCCTCTCCCTCCTCTAAAGATATTATGTTACTCTTCTCTTTTTAAAAACAGTGCAAGCTAAAGTAGCATTTAAATAATCATATTTCATACACAAGTACATTTTCAGTGGTCTGTATCTGTATATTTCTTTATCCTTTCATCTTGCCTCCTGGATTGAAACTTTTTATTCCGAAAACTCATAACCCTGTCGAAATACACCCCCCTCAAAAATTCAAAACTCCATCTAAATATGCCCCCCTCAAAAATTTTGATGGCGCCATGAAACTCCCTTCTGGGCATCGTTATAGTTGTAGCAAGAATAAACTGATATGTTATATGACTATCATTTGAGTAAAACAATGTCTATTTTAAGTGATTGGGCAACACTCATATGGTTGGTTGGGGGGTTGCGGTCTGGAAGTACACGGCAATAAAAATAAAAGTACTTTATTTTTTATGTGTGTTCTCTCTTGACTACAATCCCCAACCAATCTCCAAGCGGTAAATAATTTATGTTTGATTATAACCAAGATAATTAGAAAGATTTCCAAATTTCCTACGAAATGAAAAACTATATTTTACTTTTCTATTTTTACCAAATCTTTTAAAAAGTTATTTAAATGTTTTATTTGTAAACAATTAACTTTTGTATGTGATTCAAAGGAGTGCCCGGAAATGGGTTTAATGGAGCTACTTGCTTCATCACAATTTTTGAGGTTGCGTATTTTGGCGGGTTTTTTGAATTTTTGAGAGGGCCACATTACGGCAGGTTTATGAATTTTCAGCATGAAAAGTTCTATATTATGGAACAAGGGAAGAAAAATGGAACAGACCGCAGCAAGTGTAACAGTATATGATATACGATTTTCCTAATTTTATCTTCACTTGCTCTGTTATTAAGAAAAGGTGTGCAATAAAATATCTTGGGAGTGAGAGAATAATAATCTTGTAACATCAATCTGGAGAGAGGGGGAGGAGGATGAGCACTCCTGATTATTTAAATATAATCTGTTGTTTTATTCAAAGCGATATAACACGAGTAATCAATTAAAGTTAATAATAATTTTTTTATTTCGACGTGTTAATTTAATAATAATAAAAAGATTAGGTTAAGCTCTAATATCTAATTTAATTAGATCTCAAGAATCAAATAAACACCTTTTCATATAGGTAGTTAGTGTCTTTCAATGTAATTATCATAATATATCTTTAAAAAAAAATCGGGTTGAGCTCCCCTCTCTCCCAATATTAAATCCTGAATCCGTTAATCAATACGAGTATATTGAATATTGAATGATGAATAGTGTTTTTCCACCTGATTAAGCAATGGATATTATGAGATTAGTTGGATGAACAGTATAATGCTTGATTAATTGTTTTTAAAATTTTATTAGGTTTCTCAGTTTTCCATAATTTAAAAGCGATTTCGTTATCTTAATTGGTTAAAATATTACTTATTATATGCAGTTATGATGCAATGCCTTATTACATTATGAAAATGATAATGACTTTTTGTTATTCTGATCAAGGGTCACTTTCACATTGTGTACGAACCAACGAAGAAAGTGAGTTCTGACGCAGTTCCTTTCGAGCAGTCTAATTTTAAAAATAAACAAAATTATGAAGTATTGAATACCCGTAATCGCAAGAGATTCTTTTCCTGCAATGATTTCTTTCGAACTATTTTAACTTCACAAAATTAGTGCGTCATTCGAGATCATAATCTTGATGTAAATGGCGATTCGTAAATTATTTGGTTTAGCATTCTATGTGTGCTCCGACTAACATAGGCGGGACCGGTATCCTTCCTTCTTGTTGCACAACATATTTTAGAATGATGGTGCGACTAGAGTACCCCTTTTGGAGTAAGATATATGTTTACTCTAATTTGGCTATATCTGTTATAAATATTAAGAGAAAGTATTGCGATTGTGAAAATTTTCGAATCTGAGTTTTCAAAGGAACTACGTTTATCAAGGTCTCCCATTCCAAATAACCAAGTATCACAAAGTAGTATGAATGAGTGAACAGCCTTGTTCAAAAACGAAGTTTAAGAAAACTAAAATTATGAATTTAATTTAATTTAAAATAGGCCTACCCCCATACCAGACTGAAAAGACTAGAAACCGCCAGACGTTTTCGACTACTGCAGCACTTACTAGACAAACGCTCTAAGCTTTTAATCAATTACAAACGACTCATATATATGACAATAATAAGACCTATTTGGACTTACGGAATTGAGCTTTGGGGCTCCACTAAACCATCGAATTCCTCTCGTATCCAATCCTTTCAATCCAAAATCCTTCGTAAAATCCTCAACGCTCCTTACTTTGTCACAAATAAAATAATCCATAAAGACCTAAATGTTCCATATGTTTCTGATTTGGCCCAATCCAGATACCTATCCTTACATAATAAACTACAGAATCATCCGAATCCTCTCGTTTCAAACCTTGCTTCCTCCTCGATCCCTGATAACCCTCCGAGGCGTCTGAAAAGAAGATTGCCTCGGGAACTTCTAATATAGAACTTTAATTTGAGTTCTACCAATGGGTAGTTTCTCTTCATGTTGTACATGTCATGTTACCGATGTCACATTTACTTGTTGTATTTTCTATGTAATACAGTTGTAAATTTCACTAAAACTAAAAAAAAAAAATAGGCCTGTACCTAGGATGTGACAACAACTTTACCCATGAAATCGATCAACCGGAAGTGTCATTTTAATTCATAGATTTTACACATACTTATGATTTTCTCGAAAACGCCTCTAACGATTTTGATCAAACTCGTTTTATCTAATAATTATAATAATAAGCTTTATTGACAAAAGCCTCACCCTAAGGAGGAATTTTAACGGAGTTGGCTACAGCACAGGATAATATGTTTAAATTATTACAATAATTCTTTTTACATGTATAAAATAAAACAAAACAGATATAATTGTTTTTGTAAAATAGCCATGGAAGGCCAAAGAAAATTAAAGCCAAACAGAATATAATAAAACAAAGCACAGCAACTAAATATTGTTTATTTATTTTCAATTTTTTTCTATCTGTATCTATCCCTAGCCACAAGCCACCAGTTTTCGCCTGCACGTTATATCGTTTCATCCCGCCATCTCAGATGCGGCCGGCTTCTTTTCCTCTTGTTCTCTCCTGGGGTCCACTCGGTACATGGTTTGGACCATCTTTCATCCTTCAACCTCGCCATGTGTCCAGCCCAGTTCCACTTTAACCGATGTGCTTCAGCCCTTAAGCTTTTAATATCCACTTTTCGGAGAATGTCTTTATTTCTTGTTCTTTTCTCTCTTCTTGATTGACATTAAACTACTTAAAAGCTTCATCTGCATAACGTTCAACCTGAGTTCAAGTTTCCTAGTCAATGTCCAAGTTTGTGCCCCGTAGAGAATCGTAGTAGTCAAAACTTTGGCTTTAAGATTTATCGCTATATTGCTTTTAAAAATCGTTTTGAGGGACCAATATTTGTACCATCCAAGCTTTATTCTTTTGTTGATCTCTTTACTCATTTTTTCATTGAATGTTATTGTTTGACCCAAATTCTTCTACGTATTCTACTTGAATATTGTCTACATAGATTGGAATTTCAGCGGAGTTTGTCATTATTTTAGTTTTTCCCATATTCATTTTCAGTCCATATTTTTTACTGGTTTCCACTAATTCTCCAATCATTCCTGTAAGGTCATCCGTGTTCGGCGATATTAAAAATATGTCGTTAGCAAATCTTAGGTTGCTCAGTGTTTTCCCATTGACTGATAATCTCTGGTTCTCACAATTCAATTCTTTGAACATCTCGTTTTATCTATGAACAATTAAATGGCATTTAATATCAACTAGGTCCTCTTGTCATTCTGTAATAAAATAAAAATTTTAAAAAATAATATTTTTATCGCATATATTTTTCAAAAGGTGATTTGCAGGAAGCGCTGTTCAAATCGATATTGAACTTTCGGGTTCACTAAGCCTTATCATGAAATAACCAGCAGGCTTGTTAATTATGATCTTACTTGATCCTATCAGCAACATTGAGATCGATTTAATACATTTTGATAAATGAATGAATTTTTTTTTAATTTACAATTTTACAATTAAAAACTATAAGTGTATTGATTAATAAAATCGCATAAAGTACCTTCATTACAATTATAAATTGGGCATGGTTGCTAAGAAAATTCCAGGGATGGGCTACGTGGTTGTCGTCATGTTCTTACTCCAAAAGGGGATCTTATATCCGGCCCCACTTTTCTTCTGTGTCATCGACTCTTTGATCGACCCTCTACCCTAAGTCATAATTCTGATGTAGATAGAAGAATGGATATCTAATGTAAGAGTTCTTGCTATGGTATACTTGTAAAATAAATTCCAGGATGTTTACGATGAAAGCTTTAATTTATTTGAAACAAATGTTTTTGTTATTTAAACGTATTTGGAATTCTCAAGTGTGTCAAATTTAAAATAGAACACGATTTATCACTTTGCTTTCTCTTTTTTTCATTAATTTAAGTAAGGTATGTTATCCCTCAAGAAGAAAGTTTTGGATAACTAATCTTTCATTTTATTTTAAATATTTTACAATAGGTTTTATAATTTATTTGGCGTTTATCTGGAATTAAAACTAAATCTTGAAATAAGGCTCTACTCTCTTAACGATTCTACTCCTCAAAACGTAGAAAAAACAGTAATTAGATATTAAGTAAAAATTAAGCTTAAAAATAAATAAATAAATATATAAGTATATGTGTGATGATATTTAGTAAAAAAAATCTGGTGCGCGCAACACACAAGTTTTACTTACCGCTTTACTTTGAATAGAAAATATTTTCTAACAGTTTTGGTATATATTGTATATAGATATGACTGTGTTAT